CAGGCCGAAGGTGGAAGCGAGCTTCACCCGGAATCCTCAACCACGGAGGAACTGGATATCTTACCTCTAACTGCCGGAACACAACAATGCTGTTAACATTGTTGTTATGGCGACAGACTTAGGTAAGATGGTGGTAGCTAGCCAGGCGGACTTAGAACAAGCCCTACCACCAACCAAACCGAACAGAAAAATCTGCCCCCTCTGGGAATCGAACCCGGGACCTCTGCGTCTGAAGCAGGTGGTCTTACCACTAGACCACAGAGGCGAAATGTTTTGAAAAAAGTGATCGAGACTTTTTTTGATTCCCTATCGATCTAAGTCTGACTTTTTACCAAGCTACTTGTCTATTTCACTCGGTAAAATAAATAAGTGTAAGAAGTTATGTAGACACCTACAGCCAAATGACGTCCACAGCTGGACAAAGGCCTCCCTTAAGGATTTCCATAACGACCGGACCTGGGCGCACCAGATCGTCGGTCCACCTAGTGGGAGGCCTGCCCACGCTACGTCTTCCGGGCCGTGGTCGCCACTTGAGAACTTTTCTGCCCCAACGGCCATCGTCTCTACGAGCTATGTGCCCCGTCCATTGCCACTTGATTTTAGCAATTCTGCGAGCTATGTCGGTCACTTGTCTTTGGTTCTCCTGCGGATTCTACAGGTCATCACAATATTACCTAAGCTGTGGTCTGGTTTTACAATACCTGTCTCAGACCCAGAATTCCCGCGGGTATGATTCCCGCGGGAACTCTCGGTCTGGCTCGCGGGTATGATTATGGGTTTTTCTCTGATTTAAGCTCAGTGCGGTTGAAGGCTTTTTCTAATTCCGCATGGTAAGTACGCATAACAATGTTAACAGCGTTAATTTGAACTAATTTATACTTGCTGCAATAGCGCAACTATTATAAACTAAATAAGATATCAAACTGTCTGCATGAACCATTCATGTAATTAGGTATTTAATCCAATTGCTTTTAAATAGGTATACTTACCACATTATTTCCAAATTATAGTTAAACGCGATTTATCCAACGGAGTTTAGTCTCATTACCTAATTATTAATAATTTTAGCCAGAAGATATAAACTTATACACATTCAAGCTCATTCACTGTGTTTATAAATTGGTAATATTACCTACGCTTTATTACATTTTAACTAAAGTGCCTACCTAACTATACCTTGGAACTTAGGTAAATAATTGTGCACGCACAGATTAGGTATATCCAATTTTTTATGATGTAAAATAATGTACCTAAGTAATAAGAAGTGCGTGAATGATGTTATGAGAGTTATGTCTTACACTTTGAAAAATAAGAAAGTAAATATTAAGTAGGTTAATTAGTTTTTTTTTTTGCCTTGAAGGTGGTATTACTTGGAGGTGCCTGGATGGAAATCCTTGGGAGAGGCCTTTGTCCAGCAGTGGACGTCTTTCGGCTGAAACGAACGAACGATTATATTTTAAATAAAAGCTTTTAAACCTTTAATCAACTTCTTACATCTACCTAATTATGTAGGACTCGTAAGTAGGTCCTTCTTTTACCTTACCTTAGTGCTTCGTGTCAGGTCAAGTACCACCCTACTAATAACCATAGCTGGGCACCGTTAATCAAATAGTTAACTTCGTTAATCGTTAAACCGTTAATAAAAAAATTAACTTCGTTAAACGTTAAAACGTTACATTTCACAAGATTTAACGCAAGTTAACGTTAATCGTTAATCCGTTAACACATGATAATAAAACGAAAAAAATAATTGTATGCAAGGTTCAAATAATTTCGAAAGCTTGTATCGCGCATGGAATTTATTCATCTTTTTCAGGGTTCCGTAGTTCTGAAACCCTTATAGTTTCGATATGTCTGTCTGTCTGTCCGAGGTTTTGCTTGGAAACTATTGGCAATAGGGAGCTGTAATTTTGTAGAGATATATTAATCACGCAGACAAAACGGTAGAATAAAATTTTGAAAAAAAAAAAACTTTTTAGGATAGCTCCTACATGTAGTGGGGATGAATTTTTTTTTCATCTTCGACCCCATCGTGTGGGGTATCGTTGGATAGGTCTTAAAAAATGGCTTAGGGGTTCCTAAGACTTTTTTCCATTTAGGGATCTGTTTGCAAATTATTAAAGTTTAAAGTGCCAATTTTTGTTCGAGTAGGGCGTCCCCCCCTCTAAAAACTAAACTGTTGGCTTAAAAAATCTGGAAAAATTCGTGATAATACTGCTATTCATGAACTTTCAAGGAAAACTATAGCGGTTAAGATACATCAATTAGTTTGAGAGAATTAGTCATTTAACTCGTGTATTACAAAATTTCTTAACTAGTGAAAATTGCTTAGAAGAAAATATGAAAAGTGACTGTAGATGATGTAATTGCTTGCTTCTGAAATATACTGTGGTAACGACGGACTACTAAGGAACCCTACACTGCGCGTGCCACGACACGCACTTGGCCAATTTTTTTTGTTTGCGCTACAAGCTTTCGAAATTATTTGAACCTTGCATAAGTACAATTATTTTTTTCGTTTTAGTACAACTGCATTTCAGAATAAAAGCTAGTTTTTAAAAAAGTTTTTTATAATTTTATTTTACACTTTTTAGTAGTATCTCAATGAAAAGACAAATCCAGCAAACCCAAACTCGATAAGTTTCCACCGTTTCGTTTAGGAATTCCTATGGCCACCTCCTGACTCCATCATCAGGACCCTGGACATCATCTAGTACTAAAGTGCTCCAAACGTCAAATCCAACGAACACAAATTCGATGCGATGCCGCCGTTTCATTTAGGAGTTCCTATGGCCACCTCGTGACTCCATCATCAGACCAGCTCAATGGTACCATAACATTGCATTGTCATCGTACTTACATAAGCCTATACCAAATTTCAGCTCAATCGGTTGGAGGAAAACTGGTCTTAAATTCAGTTGCAAGAGTTGTCCCTCACATACTAACTAAGTGTCGTTAGTGATCTGGTTACAAAAACTGTTGTTTTGGGTTCTGGAAGTTCTGAAAGCCCGAACGTACTTGTCAGAACGCGTTTTACTGGCGTTTTTCAGCGTGCTTTTGGTAAATTTATTATTTATCTGTATATCAAAATTGTTTGTTTCCCTAACATAAATAAATAAATAAATAAATAGTAGGTACTGGATTAACGATTAACGGACTTAGGATAATTTAACGGAAGTTAACGAGTCCGTTAACATTTTTTAAAGTTAACTTAAAAGTTAATCCGTTAATAGAAATGTTAACTTCGTTAATTAACGATTAACGGATTAACGAGTTAATGCCCAGCTATGCTAATAACTAATTAGGTACCTACCTCTTATAAATGCGAAAGTTTGGACGTCTGGAATCTGGATGTTTGTTACTCTTTCACGCAAAAACTATGGAACGGATTTTGTTGAAACTTTACAGTATTATTGTTTGTACCCAGAATAATACATAGGCTTTAATTTATGACATATCGTCATGACAAACTAAATTTCGTGCGGATGAAGTCGCGGGCAAAAGCTAGTGGTTTATAAGTAAAGCAATCATTTTTCAATCAATCACATCGCTCGATTACTTTAATAAATTGCGTTTATTAAAACGCTTCATTAATTTTTCACAAACGAAATAAGTAAAATAATAATTAATAATATTATCGTGATGTTTTCATATAGGTAATTCATGAAACTCCAGGAAGCCCTAAAATGTCGCTAATCTTCAATTCAATAATAATATTTATCCTGCCAATCTCTAGTCTTATTAAATAAGAAAATTAATCACAAACATTCACATTAACACTAGAAATTTTCTAGTGATATTTTTTAATTTTTAGCATGAAACATAAGGTGGAGAAGATGCAATGGAACACAAAATGGATAAAATCGACGTGTCTCGCTCGCCAAATTATGGCGTACCTACCTACTTTTAACCTCTTGGAGTATGAGTAGGTATTCTTTGGTGCTTAATGTAACAATGAATGAATGAATGGATGTTTTTTACACCATTGCATGCTTAAACGACTGAACTGATTTCAATTAATAAGGTTTTCGAGATATTTTGGGCCTAGGGAAAATATCCTACTAATTTTTAAAGACATGCATGGAACAAAAACATTTTCTGCGGTCAAAGTCGCGGGCAGAAACTATGCCTTAAATGCTTGATAATTAGTTACGTTGTTGAAATTCATTCGAACTGCAGCATTTTAGCGCCGCACACTCGATTTTAATTTCCAACTTACTTAATTACTTACTGCTCTATTTCGTCACTTTAGCGCACGAATTTGCACGAATTAGTGATTGATCGATCGAAAGGTTACGCTAAAGAACGAAAACGCTCAATGAGCAAAGAAGCCAACGCAGAGTTAGCGTCCATAGACCCAATATTAATAAGTATTTAACTGATTTGCTGAAAACAGAAAGAACAAAATTGTTTCGCAATGACAGAGTGACAACAGCAATAGTTGGTTGACTGTAAAGTACACACGCCCGGCGCAATAAAGTTTTAAAAGTTTGTAAGTTCTAGCACAGGTTCTAGTACGTAGGACTCATAGGTATTCGTAGGTACTAACGTACCTACTGGCTAATACTATGTAAACCAACTTCCAGTTATAAACGCGCCATGAATTAATTAAGTCCGCCATTCACTGCCCGCGCACTTAAGACCTCTTCAAACTTAAAACTTTTTTGTAGTAACGAACCGTCCGTCACTATTAACAATAACGGTTCGATAACGGCAATGTTAAATCCATAAAGAGCTCCATACGAGAACGCGAACATGGTGGGACATTATTAACAGCACATAATTTTTTAATGTAGCTAATAAATATTCTATAGAATACGGTCTTAATTATTATGATCGTAATCGTTTAGATTCATATTTTTAATTTAATATAAAATAATAACGTTATTAGTTATTACTACTGGCCACACACAAACAAAGCGCCTGCGCCCAGCCATGACAACGTGAAAAAATGATTGTTTGACAAGTTGACAATCTGACAACCTCAAAAATGAAAAAGCGCGGGAAACGTTGAACGCGACGGGCGTCTTTTTTGGTTCAAAAGTTTTGTAAATTTGTTTTAGCATATAAATAGATCAGTATTGTATAGTGTTCTTGTAAATTTATTGTTTTGTGTATATATTTTATGTAGATAGTGTTTAAATCTTGCTGTACTACCGGTGAGTCTATTTATTTAATTACTTGGAGCCGCAATGAACGACCCGCCCGATCCGGGCGGTTCTCTGCCGCCCGATGAAATTTCCCTTGATGCTAGTAATGTTCCGCCGGCGGGTCATTTCGTTACGGTTACATCTAACCATGGTTGGGAATCCGATAATTCCACATCGGGTTCAACAGCTTGCCCTCGCAAGCGTAGCCGTAATAAGAAAAGTCGTAAACATCAGGCTAAAATTGAACGTAGACTTCTTGCTAAAAATATGACAGAAGAATCTACTGATATGGATCACCAAGATGTTCCACAGACACAGCAAAAGGTCATTGCACCTGCAACTAGTATCTCTGACTTGCCTCCGTCCAACCCTACTCCAATTGCTCGTAATCTGTATAATGAATCAGACAGTGCGCCCTACGTAGTCCATGTTCAGAAGATCGAAACTAGCCCAAATGAAGGTCCGTCAATGCACGCACTCTCATTTGGGAAATTCCTGAAACAGAATTCCTTTCAATGTATAGTTAATGGTAGTGTAAAGCAAATTGGCCGGAACAAAATTTCGATTTCATTCTCGAACTTCAACCATGCGAACCTGTTTTTAACTCACAATAGTTTAGTGACCAAAAACTACAAAGCCTTCATTCCCTCCTTTAATGTTACAAGGATGGGCCTTGTGAGAAGTATACCAGCGGATTGGTCACCGGAGGAAATAATTGAAAACATTACAGTACCAGATGATTGTGGTAAAATTATAAAAGTTAGGCGGCTGAATTACAAAGTCTTTGTGGATGGTGCTCCTATTTGGAAACCATCTCAATCCATTGTATTAACTTTTGATGGACAAGTATTACCTAAGCGCATATTTATGTGTTATAATGCCTTACCTGTAGAGCTTTACATTTTTCCCACTATCCAGTGTTATAATTGTTGCCGTTTTGGACACACAAAAGTTCAATGTCGTTCCAAAGCAAGATGCTTCAAGTGTAGCCAAGGTCATGCTGGCGACACATGCCAAACTGACGAAATTAAAGCATCATGCTGTTTGTGTTCTGGGTTCCACTATGCCACAAGTAAATCCTGCCCTGAATTTCTAAGACAGAAAAACATAAAAACTTCTATGGCTAATAACTCCATGTCATATGCAGAAGCCTCAAAAATTCATCCACCAGTATCCAAGTCTTATGCAGACATAGTTACAGCAAAATCGAATTCCCAAATAGTACAGGATAAGTCTCCTAATCTTGTTTCATCCTACAAAAAAACGGTATACAAAACTCCTCGTTCCACTCCCACATTAGGCAAAAGCTATGACCGTGAAGCACATGAGGCTATCATTAGGGAAAACTTAATTCCTTCCCCATCTAATGGTTGTGCTATTAATACCGAATTTCATAATAAAGAATCACCAGTATCTCTACCTGAATTAATACTTGCTCTTATTAATATTGTTTCTAAGTCAAATTCTAGTTCACCGTCCCACGCTGCCTATATAATTGATAAGTGTATGAGAGTCATTCAAGATGGCGATGCAAGCTAAGCTGCTACAGTGGAACTGTCGCAGCATAGTTAGTAAAAAAAGTGAAATTATATACTTGCTAAACAAATATAAGCCATTTGTCTTTGCTTTAGCAGAGACATGGCTCAAACCCATGCAAAATTTTAAAGTGCATGGATATACCTCTGTCAGAGATGACAGACCTGATGGGTATGGTGGTACTGCACTTTTAGTTAAAAGCTCAGTGCCATTTTCTATTATCTCACTACCTTCCCATTCTGTAAATATGTCAATTGTAGCTATAAGTGTGTAAAAAAAAAAAAAAAAAAAAAAAAAAAAAAAACCTCAAAAATTGTATTGATCTAACAAACAGGTAAAATTAATTCTTTACGCTTATTAAAAACTGTGCTAAATAATGGAAAAAGCTTTCGAAATTCAAAGGCAAGTGCGCGATAACGTTAAAACCTTCCAAACATACTTGACAGACCTGGATAACTGGGAAGCGGAGATGAAAAGAAAAGAGGCCGCTCTCAACGGTGCTTTTGAGCAGGTTTAAATCAGTTTAAACTCATAAATACTATTTGAAATTGTAATTTGTATGATCTACAGTATTTAGCAGTGTAACTTGGCACTAAACACGTATTATTTGCTTAGTGTTTGTGACAATGTTTTGGGTAGTATCAGAGCCTCACATATATTTGGTCGACGTGCTGTTTTTCCTGATTTTAGTGTTGTTGTACGTATTTACTTTAATACAGTACTTTAGACGTCGGGATATTAACATTCGTGCAATGTTTTGAGGTTAGGATCTCCCGCCAGTTAGAAGTAAGTTGAAAAGAGAAAAGCCCGTTGTTGTGAAAAAGAGTCCAGAGAAGAGGATCTCATCGTTTGACTACAAGGCCTGGGACCAGTTTGATGCTGTGAGTAACCTGTGTTAAGTTTTAACATAAAAACAGTCTTATTATGAGCCCGGAAAGTGCAATGATGTCCGGAGAAATAAATAATTTAGCAGTATTTCTACTGAAATTGGTTTTTTAACTTTGAAATAGGCATAATGTTTGATTTTATGGTCTAACACTAGCTGTCTCAATACATTAAGTATGTGGGTAGTTAGGTATTGGCTTCTAGAAAATGCAGTTGCTGTCCAAGCGAGAATCAGTTTCTATAGAAACATACAATGGATGTTATTGATAAAACAACTCCATGCTTTATTTTCCTTTTCTTTTGAAATCATGAATATTATGATTAGAAAATTTTGCCTACATTAATTTAATTGGTACATTTAAGAACATAAATTCTTTAAAATAATTCAAAGAGAAATTATTTTTTGCTGGTCATCAATGATGATTTATTTTTAACACATTGCATATTCACTTTGGACTTTTAGTTTTATTATTATGTATAGGCATTACAATTAATATTTAAATATTGTATTTTTAAACTGCATTTCCACTGGCACAAAGCCAAGTCAATTCATGTTACTTTTTGCCACATTTTCTGAAACTACTAAGTACAATCAACATCATTGATCATGTATCAGTTAATATATTTTTATTACATTGTTCTTGAGTATGTTATTGAAAATACAATGTACGCAATCACTGTATATGTACTGATTATTATGAATGAATGCTTGTTATGTTATCATATCGCCCGTTGAAAACCAGCGTTGTGGGATCTTTTTGGCACAAAATACCTACATACGTATATTTTAAATTTGTTATTATTTTTGTTTATTTTGTGTCGAATAAAGATTTTTCTATTTGATTCTATTCTATATCTGTTTAGGACAAAGCATGTGAAGACATCGACATGGCAGAAGTAGGACCTGTATCTTTGGACGGCAAGAAGAGTCAGCAAGTTAAACAAGACAAACTGAGGGAAGAGGCTCAGTACGAGAAGGAGAGAGTGAGTATTCCTGATTTAAACTTAGTAATTTAAAAAATGCAAAAGTAACACCGGTATCAGGCCTGTTCATCTCCGCGAGTTTACATCGAAAACAAAACACGCACGATGGCCCACCTACAGGATACTATTCGACAAGGCCTCACATACGAGCGAACATTGACTCACGCACACGTATTCTTGTGTATGATGGAAGAAAATTAAGAAAATGGTGTACTAAAATACTGTGCAGTATTTAACTGCCTAAATAATAATAAAAACACATAATGTACTTTTTTAAGTTGCCTCAAGACACTGAGTGGTAAATAAGTAGTTAATATTATTCATGATAATTCATGCTAAATCATTTTCCGCAGTTTGGCACCTCACGTCACATCATTTTACCGAAGCCGCGAAGTCAGCCCTATAGCTTCGGCGCAGTGCCGAACACTGACGTTTGTCAACAAAATGGTGCTTGACTCTTGAGACAGGCTAAATTACACCATATTGTTAATGAAATTGAGCATACATTTTTTTAAATACCTTCGCGAAGTAAATCTTCTGTACGTAGTACTTATTATTATTCTGTGCCGGTATTCACAAACAATGCTTGCTTAAGTGAAGCAGCAAATCGAACGCACAGCGTCGAATAGAGCTCTGTGATTGGTTCGTGTATCACCCTGTACGTCTACGCGTACTGTGAGACCTCATAGTAATGTTTGTGAATACGGGCCTAACTCTAAATTACTGACTGACTGAACAGTTTGAGACCTAGGAAAAATAGAATTAGTAGGTATTGTCCTGGTTTTTCAATGAAGTGCATGCTGGGAAATAGTCTTTCTGTAATAGACTGATTCAGCAAAGCAAAACCAAAAACTAGTTTTCATTAAAGTATTACCTCATACATTTAAATAAAGTAGAATTTTATTACAAAAAAATAAAACAAATCCCTACTTTAGTGTAGTGTGAATTCAAATTTTCAAATTCAAATTCATTTATTCATTGCATCATGTAGTACATTGGATGTTAAATGAAAACCTTTGTTTCCAAAAAATAATGTTGCTCTCAATCATTAAGTGCTAGCAGAGATCATAATTAATTATCCTGTGAATTGTTAAAAACCTGTAATTGTGTTTTTCCAGGGCAACACATATGTAAAGAAAGAGAAGTGGGATGAAGCCATACAGTGCTACACTCGAGCTATAGAACTGGTCAAGGATGATGCCATTTACTTTGCCAATAGAGGCCTGTGCTACCTCAAGAAAGACAGGTGAGTTTTAATTAAATATTTTATAATGAAAAATACCTCTCAGCCCCCAAGTGGTAGCAGACTACCGCGTAACAATTGATTATTATCTATTGTGTCTAGATTCGTGGGCTAGTTCAGTGATTCGTCCCAAAATAGGTTCGTCCCACTGGGACGAAACACTGAATTCAAAAAAAATATATAGTTTTCGTTCTTGGTTCGTCCCATTTAATTTATTCTTTAACATAATGAGTTTTAGTACCTTCAGAAAGTCAATGAAATAAAAGAAAATGTGAATGTTAACAATGTCTGTATTTAAAAGGAAATCAACATAGAAAATCTAATCACTGAATCAATATGTATTAATTTTCAATGATTTTAAATTTTATTTATCAAATTTTTTTGCTGATCTGAGTATATTCACGTGTTGATTTTCTTTTAAATGACAGATAATGTTAACAAATTCATGTTTTCTTTTATTTCATTGACTTTCTGACGGTACTAAATCTCATTTATGTTAAAGAATAAATTAAATGGGACGAATCCAGAACGAAAAATTTTTTTTTTTTAATTCAGTGTTTTGTCCCAGTGGGACCAACGTGTTGTGGGACGAATCACTGAACTAGCCGATTCGTGGTGCTTGAAGGATTAAACATGTTGAGACATGATAATTATTAATGTAGTGTAACCTAGTTCTTAATTTGCCACTTCAATGTTACGAAATTAAATCTAACATGAGACACAAGTTAAGTTGTCTTCACTTGCTATATGATTTCTAATTAATTAAATTACAGATATTTACTCATTATAGGATAAAGATTGACTACAGTAGAATCTCGATTATCCGGATATCCGATTATCCGGACTCATTCTTCACAGTTTCTAATTACCGATTTTAGGTCTGGACCCATAAAAACGGAAGGCGCCGCCACCGTAACACGGATTGGACTTCGTCTTAGTTCATTGTTAAAAGAAATGGATTCATCCAATGGTCTAAAATTTTGATTTTTAGACTCTAAATGATGTATTGAAAAACTTTTCTACTGTAAAGAGTTAATTATTGTTTGATTTTACTTTGAAATCGATTATCCGGATTTTCGATTATCCGGAACACCCCTGGTTTTAATTGATCCGGATAGTCGGGATTCTACTATTTACTCTAATTTATGTAATGTTTACTTACATTCTAAACTTTTACTCAAGGTCTGGTTGAAAAATTGATGTTGTCTAGTAACAGTAGTAAAAGTTTGAAAATAAATACTATCGTGATGATATGCTTTATTATTATTATGCTTTATGTTAGATCCTTTAGAACTTAGTACTACTTCTGTTTGTTCTTCAGTCTTCACCAAGCCGAGAAGGACTGCACCGAAGCGCTTCGCCTAGACCCGACCTACGTCAAAGCGTTCCAACGTCGCGCGACGGCTCGGGAACGCCTCGGCTCCCTTCGTGCAGCCTCGCGCGACCTTATGGAGGTGATCAAGCTGGAACCACACAACCATGCGGCTAAGCAACAGCTGGAGACTATCAAAACTAGGATGGGGACTAAAGGGGTGAGTGTTTGATAAATATAGATATTATTTAATGGCACAAACGGCTGCAGCAATCAATAGTATCGCGAGCGCCTCGGTTCGTCTCGCGCGACCTCATGGAGGTGATCAAGCTGGAACCACACAACCATGCGGCTAAGCAACAGCTGGAGACTATCAAAACTAGGATGGGGACTAAAGGGGTGAGAGATAAATAGATTTTTACTCAATTAAACAGTCAAACTGCATACTATGTGCCCTGCCCATTGCCACTTCAGCTTGCTAATCCGTCGGGCTGTCAGCGACTTTGGTTCGTTTACGGATCCCCTCATTTCTGATTCGATCTCGCAAAGTGCAGGGCACATAGTACGCAGAACTGACGGCCGATGGGGCAGAAAGGTTCTGGAATGGAGGCCGCGTACCGGAAAACGCAGCGTGGGATGACCACCTACAAGGTGGACCGACGACATCGTTAAGGTGGCAGGGAAGCGCTGGACGCAGGCCGCTACCAATCGATCGACATGGAAAGCATTGGGGGAGGCCTATGTTCAGCAGTGGACGTCCTATGGCTGAAATGATGATGATGATGATGAAATAGTCAAACGGCTGCAGCAATCAATAGTATCGCGAGCGCCTCGGTTCGTCTCGCGCGACCTCATGGAGGTGATCAAGCTGGGACCACACAACCATGCGGCTAAACTACAGCTGGAGACTATCAAAACTAGGATGGGGACTAAAGGGGTGAGGGATAAATAGATTTTTACTCAATGAGGGCTATCGTTTTTATACTTAACAGTTGGCACCCCTGGCGATTGACAGGACCTTACTCTACAGTGGCGCCATCTTGATGAGTGCAATTGCGATAGTTCTCCTACCACTTTAGCGCTCACCAGTTGGTGCCACTGTCTTCGCTACTAGCAAGTGACAGACCTTACTCTACAGTGGCGCTAACTGGTGAGCGCTAAAACGATAGCCCTCATTAAATAGTCAAACTGCATACTATGTGCCCTGCCCATTGCCACTTCAGCTTGCTAATCCGTCGGGCTATGTCAGCGACTTTGGTTCGTTTACGGATCTCCTCATTTCTGATTCGATCTCGCAAAGTGCAGGGCACATAGTACGCAGAACTGACGGCCGATGGGGCAGAAAGGTTCTGGAATGGAGGCCGCGTACCGGAAAACGCAGCGTGGGATCACCACCTACAAGGTGGACCGACGACATCGTAAAGGTAGCAGGGGAGCGCTGGACGCTGGCCACTACCAATCGATCAACATGGAAAGCATTGGGGGAGGCATATGTTCAGCAGTGGACGTCCTATGGCTGAAATGATGATGATGATGATGAAATAGTCAAACGGCTGCAGCAAAGGACAGTATCGCGAGTGCTTAGCGCTGCTTCGCGTGACCTCATGGAGGTGATCAAGCTGGAACCACACAACCATGCGGCTAAGCAACAGCTTGAGACTATCAAAACTAGGATGGGGACTAAAGGGGTAAGTTAAGTAAAGACGTCCACTGCTGGACAAAGGCCTCCCCCAAGGAGTTCCACAGAGACCGGTCCTTCACCAGACCTCCCGCGACCTTCACCAGATCGTCGTTCTTAACCGGTGGTCCGCGGACCACTGGTGGTCCCTGGAGGCATTCCAAGTGGTCCACGAAGACATCGTAATAAACAAGTGATGTGACGTGATGAGTCGAGTCAACACAACGCAAACGGCGCACAGTGGGCGAGAAATCGACCTCCCCTTTCATAGGATTTTAAAAAAAAGTGGTCCCTGACAAACAGACATTTGGTAAAATGGTCCCTCGTGACAGAAAGGTTAAGAACCACTGACCTAGAGGGAGGCCTGTCTACGCTACGTCTTCCGGCTCGTGGTCGCAACTCAAGAACTTTTCTGCCCCAGCGGCCATCAGCACTTAGCGATTCTGCGGGCTATGTCAGCCTTGAAGCTCACAGCTACTTACACTAATGACCTAATTTTATTTTTCAGTCCAAATCAAAGTCATCGCCGTCTTCCACACCCACTGCGGAATCCAAACCAATCATCACCCCAGCGAAAGCCATTCCAAAGATCATCGAATTACCCGATGAGCCAACTATGCCAGCTCAGAAAAAAATACCAACGAAGCCAACTCAGAACGTGCCAGTTATGCCAGCACAGAATGTGCCAGTCATGCCAGTACAGAATAGTGCGCCAGCCATGCCAGCACAGAAAAGTCCACTAGTCATGCCAGTGAAGCCAGTTCAGAGTAGTGAGGACAAATGGAAGGATGGCGTTGATGAAGGGATAACGGTGATCAAGCCGGTGAAGAAACCACCCCATTTGCGTTCTAAGGTGAGATTGCTAATTTTATTATTATAGTCATTAAAATGCCTTAACAAAACTTGGATATTCTTAAAATGATAAAAAAAACTTGTTTTAAAAACTCTTTTTTGCAAATTATTTATTGAGGTTGCTATATTTCAACCTTAGCCTGTTTTCACCATCAATCCCTAATTTTAAAGCTTGGTAGGTATAAACAAAACAGTTCGACCTATTTTTATTTTTATCTTGACTACCATAGTCTGTAGTGCAGGAATGTAAATAATATTTATCTATGTTAGTGAGTTTTTATCTAAAAGATTTCTACTCACTTCTGGAAAGATTTAATTTGTATGAGGTCTAATTAACCTTATACTCGCCATAAACAATATGAGGTGCTAATAGGCTTCTCAGGGCCAGTTTCATCATCATTTCAGCAACAGACCATTCACTGCTGAAAACAGGCCTCCCCCAATGATTTCCCCAAAGGCCGGTTGGTAGCGCTTAGCCCTTCTGCTGCCTTATAAGCCGTTTAATTAATAATACTATAACTTGCTTACCAAACTTGTTAATTTCAGAGAGCGCTTAAACCTGTGTCAATTCAAGAGATTCTCCTCGGCAAATCATCCCCTGAAAAACCACCTACCCGCCTAAAAATCGTCGAGCTCGAAGACGAGTTGGCACACGGTGATTCGAACAACAACGAAGCCAAAATAGAAAAGGAGAAAGAATCTCGGACCACCGGAGAGAAAGGGAAGGGAGATATGAAGGAGAAAATTTTAACTCCAGAGTCGGTGAAACTGATTGAGGATGCAACGGTGACTGAGAAACTGCTTCAGAATCTGGTTCCACCTACAAATAGTGTTCAATTTATGGCTGAATGGAAGTATTTGAAGGGAAAAGGCGACGCTAGAACCCAGTATTTGAGTGTAAGTATTATTAATGGTTGTTTGGTTCATGAGTGGTATGTCAAATTTTTATTAACTTATTTTTATTATTGACTTTTGTCTGCTAGTTCTCCTGTGCTCATAATATTTTTCTCAAGATCTCTACCTACTAGCACAGAATAATAATAAGTACTACGTACAGGTTTTCTTCGCGAAGGTATTTAAAAAAATGTATGCTCAATGTCGTTAACAATATGGTGTAAATTAGCTTGTCTCAAGAGTCGAGCACCATTTTGTTGATAACTGTTGAGGACTTAAAGTATGTTTTTAAAAATGTCGTGATTACTGACGAACTTTAAGGTGCTAATACATTGCTTAGATTTTAAAAAAAATACGCTTTATTCTTTCCAATATTGTATTCAGTAACGAACATTATGACAGTATTCATTGTATTTATAAATTGATAATTATTCCTTACAGATTATAGACCCACACAGAATCCCATCCATCTTTGAAAACGCTCTGGAAAGCGACGTGCTGTCTGATGTCCTAACTACCCTTCACTCCGATATGGCCAAGTTCGGCGCCAAGACTGTCGCCGCCTACCTACAGTCCATGACCAAGGTCAAGCGCTTTTCCGCCTTGGCTATGTTCTTATCGGATGGAGACAAAAAAGGTAAGCAACTACATCAATACGAAGGAGTTTTAGACTTGGCGAGTTCGGTGCCGCCAAGACCTTGTCAACCTACCTAATGGCCAAGGTTTAGCGCTCGCTTCTTGGCCTTGGCTATGTTCCTATCAGATGGGAATAAAAAAGGTAAGTTGCCACATTATACTGCGACAATACTACGGAGTTAGACTTGGCTAGTTCGGCGCCAAGACTGTTGCTGCATACCTACAGTCCATGACCAAGGTCAAGCGCTTCTTGGCCTTGGCTATGTTTCTTTCGGATGGGGATAAGAAATGTAAGTTACCACATTATACTGCTATAATACTATGGAGTTAGACTTGTCTAGTTCGGCGCCAAGACTGTTGCTGCATACCTACAGTCCATGACCAAGGTCAAGCGCTTCTTGGCCTTGGCTATGTTCCTATCGGATGGGGTTAAGAAAGGTAAGTTGCCACATTATACTGCGACAATACTACGGAGTTAGACTTGGCTAGTTTAGCGCCAAGACGGTTGCTGCATACCTACAGTCCATGACCAAGGTCAAGTGCTTCTCGGCCTTGGCTATGTTCTTATCGGATGGGGACAAGAAAGGTAAGTCACATCACTACTACTACAATACTATGGAGTTATACTTGGCCAAGTTTAGCGCCATACTGTCGCCGCCTACCTACAGTCCATGACCAAACGTTTTTCCGCCTTGGCTATGTTCCTTTCGGATGGGGATAAGATAGGTAAGTTACCATATTATACTGCTATAATACTATGGAGTTAGACTTGGCTAGTTCGGTGCCAAGACTGTTGCTGCATACCTACAGTCCATGACCAAGGTCAAGCGCTTCTCGGCCTTGCCTATGTTCTTATCGGATGGGGATAAGAAAGGTAAGCAACTAATTAAATACTAAGGTGTTAGACTTGGCTAGTTCGATGCCAAGACCTTGTCAGCCTACCTATGGCCAAGGTTTAGCGCTCGCTTCTTGGCCTCGGCTATGTTCCTATAGGATGGGGATAAGATAGGTAAATTACCACATATACTGCTACAATACTATGGAGTTATACTTGGCCAAGTTTAGCGCCAACTTGGCGCGTCTTGGCCCCGCCAAGACTCGCCGCCTATTTACAGTCCATGACCAAGGTCAAGCGCTTTTCCGCCTTGGCTATGTTTCTTTCGGATGGGGATAAAAAAGGTAAGTTGCCACATTATACTGCTACAATACTATGGAGTTATACTTGGCCATGCTTAGCACCAACTTGGCGCGGCCAAGACTGTCGCCGCCTACCTACAGTCCATGACCAAAGTCAAGCGCTTATCGGATGGGGATAAGAAAGGTAAGCGTTTTTATCACTGATTGACTTGGAAATTAAGGCCAAAGACTTATTATGGCCAAGTTTAGCGCCAAGACCATCTCCGCCATTTCTTTACATTTTAAAATGAATGTGTTTCGACCAAGAATTGGCACTCAGGAACGTCAAAAAAAGGTTGTCTTTTAGAAGTCTTTACAAAACAGAGGCTAAAAAAAGACCGATTTTCATGCGCTGCTTCTTCACAGCACTGGCCCATTTATTGTCTCGAAGCAGTGGTAGGGTTAGAGTTATACTGGGATGTGTAAAAGCGCTTTTTAAAATTACTTTGTTTCAGTACTGAACGATCTCCTACACCACTGCAAAACGGTTGAGAAATTGAGCGACGACGCGATCGCCGATCTGAAGAACAAATACGAAATCTGAACGCTTAGGGTACTAGTTAGTTTTTCAAATTATGACATCGTTAGATATTAAAAAGACATGCCTTGAATTCTGTGTTATTCGTGAAGATAACATTATTTTTACAGAATTTAATTGGAATAAAACAGCCAAGTATTTATCTGTAAGCTTGAGTGGCCTATTCATTATAAATGGTAGAGAGAGTATGACATCACTTTTTAACCGACTTCAAAAAAGGAGGAGGTTATTTGCAAACAAAATTGAGTTTATTCTTTTTTTAACACGCTTTTATTTTTAAAGCCAGTCAGATTTTTATACTAATTTATTTGAAATGAAGTCGGTATTATCAAAAATACTTGTTTAGACTACTTTTTTCTTTCATTCATATTGGTTTCCTTTGATGATGTGTTCATATCGGTTTTGCGGCCTAGTCTAAAATTATTTTCTCTCCACGAATAGTTTTATCAAATAAAAATAAAAAGTAACTTGATATAAAAATAGCAACTCTATTAATCGTGGCTAAGGTATCAATGACTGCACTTCTACATTTCATGGCATGTCTTTTTAAAATGGTTGGGTTACACTTATTTGTGATGATTGCGAAAAATATAATATTAATTTACCGTTATTAAGGTTTTTGGTAATTAAAAAAGTACAGTTAAACTTTGTAGTCTCAAATAAAAATAGAACAATTAGTTATAGTTGATATTATTATATTTTTCTATGTGAATAAGTGTATACCACCCTAACCATTTTCCGTGGTCTATCTACTAAAGCCCGGTCCGTGAGCACGTAGAATTTTGTCCAATGACCCCTAGATACCCATTCTTATGTAGTAGTTGTAGCTAGTTTGCCCCTAGTTGTAGCTAGGGGTCATTGGACAAAATTCTACGTGCTCACGGATTTACACACCTATAGTCTGGCTATAGGTGTGTAAATATTTTTTGTATTTCTGTAGAATTTAGCCTAGGCGCAGACCACCGATTTTTTGTCGGCCGATAGTTTAGTCGGGCAGTTAATCAGTATGGGAATGTATGGAAGTGCGCACATTACACCGATTGATTCTACATACAAATTAGATCGGGCCCAACTATCGGCCGACTAAAAATCGGTGGTCTGCGCATAGGTTTAGAGTAATAATATTTCAGATTACATTTCACGTTAGCTTTATTGAACGAGAAAAGTAGGTGCTGTAACGATTTTATTTTTATACCGTATCACTGTTAATGTTGGGCTAGGATAGCAAAATAGTTTAGTAGGTTTTTCACGATGCTATGAACACTTTTTTTTGCTATCATGACCCAAGGATGAAAACTGTTGCTGTATTGTTCAAAATAATGTTATCGTATCATAATTTTACTTTGAAATTTTCCATCCTTCGCTGCTATATTAAATTCTGAGCGATTTATCTTTTATTTTTTTATTAATTTCGGGACAAACTTCACCTTCACTGGTTGGGTTTTTATTGGCGGTCAAGCTGTAGATCCTCGCTACACAGAAGTTGCAGCGGTGGGAACGAGAGGTGGGAATATTCCCGTTTATTGTCTTGGTTTAGTAGATACATCACAGGAAAGTGAGAAGTCAAATTGTCATTATGTAGTTTTCTTTATAATTGGTGCAAGGAAGTGTTTTCAGTTCTGTGATTATTTTGTTTAATTAATTAAGTTCTAATAAACATTGTAATTAAATTCAGTCAGTTGTTTTTGTTAATTACCTTCACAATATAAATGTAATTTGGTAATTTATATCTCATTGAATTAACTCTCAACTTACTTTTTCCATGACCTAACCTTATACGTATTTACCATAGGTATTTACGGTCTTTTATCTATGTATAGATGACCTAAATTGAACTGTCCCACCAAACTCATTGACAGGGGGACGCCACCATCGTTCAACTTTAGTTTCCAAATGGTTTCCAAACACGGCAAAAATCGGAACCAGCGATCCGGTATTGACGGTGGCGCCCTCCTGTTAATGTCACTGATGGGACTTTTATAACTTTTAAAGTTGGACAATTATTATTGTGGACAATACACAGGATGTCAAAATGACAACATTTCTTGAAATCTTGAATTTTAATAATTTTGTTGTTTGAAGCTAAAAGTGAGTCTTTAGTCGCGTTTTACTACATAACCTTTCGATGGCACAGAAAAATTAAACCTAACACCAAGAATAAATAACAAAAGTTTGTGATCTTTGACCAAGTTTTAAACACTGAAAAAATCCAGATAATGTCCAAAATGAGGCGACCATCCGGAAGCTATTTTTGCTTCCTCATACTGCTATTCTTCGTTACCAGCTACGTGCTATCCAGCTTCATAATAGTGTGCTATAGGGACGAAGCAGCGAAGTATAAGTTATTGGCGTACCTGACGGAGTATTTCAATCCTGATGATAACTATTATAGAGAAAAGCTACAAAATTATATTTAAATTTTGTAAGTTTATTATATTTTTTGCAATTGGTACCTACACGGCTTTTATTCACATAACTTGTCTAAAGGGCACTATCGAGATCGAAAGAGGCGATAATATCTATAGTCCGGTCGCCGAGCATGTAGAATTTCGTCCAATGACCCCAAGCTACCCATCCTTATCGATTACATGCTCGGCTACCGGGATTTATAGATCATCATGTTTTCTTTAGATGCTAAGTATACCATAACAGAAAGAACTAATAAGCTTCGTATTTTATTTTTAACGTTATTTTTTTATTTATTTTCACCAAGTTAAACTATCTTTAATAATAATAATAATAAATCATTTATTTGCCAGAATACGGTTACAAATGGTTTTAAAAAGAGAAGTTTCCAACATATTCTATCGTACATACGATGTGCAAATATTACAAAAAATACGGTTATGTTTTTAATATTAAAAAGTAGTATCATTATTAATTGAATGTCATGCAAATGTCAGAAAATGATTATGAATTATTGAAATAGCACAAACATATTATTACATTAGATTCATACAATGTCAATGATACACAATGTCATATTTTAAGAAATTTTTAGATGTCAAGTACAAAATGTCAAAAAGATTTTTCTGTCAGGAATTCATTGACTGTGTAATACATCTTTTGTTTTAAGAATTCTAATAAATTATTTCTAAATTTAGTAAATGTCAATGTTTTAATATCTTCGGGTAATTTATTAAATATTTTTATTGCCATACAATACACATTCCTTGAGTAGAGGGTCAATCTTTGTGGAGGAATTCTCAAATTTTCAGTTTTCCTGCCTCTGTACCTATCAAAGTCTTTGTTTTTATCGAAGAGATGAATGTATCTTTTAACAAAATTATTTACAGGTCAATAACCTAATGCGACAGAATAAATTATTTTGTAGGCAGGTACACTGTATCTACTTACACTAACTACTTATAACTAACAATAAAAAGCGCGGCTCTTACGAATTCACTCAATTTTATGTGCATGATTCATTCGAGTCAGTTTGGATCAAGGAATTAAAATCTTAACACCCACTAACGCCCCCAAAGCTTTCCAGTTAAAGTAACGGAAAATCCCTAGCAAAACACAAGGCAAGTTTCCTAAAAAAAACTTTTAGTCCGTCAATGAATTATCAAAAAATATAGGTATTTTAAGAAATATTGGACACGCAAGTATATTTTTATTTGTCAATCAAACAAGTAATTACGAAGTTATGATGATGCGTTGAAGTTCAGCATAACGTCCCAAAGTGCTACACTTAAGCACGCCTTGACGTCACAGCCTTCCTTTGAACTTTGTTTCTTTCAATTTTCATTAGTTTGAAAAAGTGAAAAATACGTGTCGAGTGTTTTTTGATAAGTTAACCGACGGACTAATCATCTTTATATTTAAAGTTAAGGCAGCCTCCAACAAATCTAGGTATTTCTAGGAGCACCCACAAGACTCCCATTATACGTTATTGCAAATGACAGCAGCGATCACTCGTAGAGACAAAACACCTATGAGAGAGATATTTTTGCGTTAATTGATTTTCTCAAGCACGCATTATACGGAGTTATTGGAGGCGGCCGATTCATTAGAACGGCATTCTAGTGATGTGGCGTTACGATGATATTATTTTCTATCTCATGATATTTAATAAATAAGTAGCTAACTAACTATTGATTTTTATAAACTTCGTCTATGATGGTTTGCATAGGTATCTAAGTTAAATTGTAGGTATTATTTAAGTATTTATAGAGTACGAACACTAATAATTTAGGAGTGACAAGGGAATCCACGGAATCCGTCAGATTGTTACGCAGTTTGTTCAGGTGTGACGGTAAGAAGAGATCACAGAAAAAGCATCAGATTCAACTGGAAACCTTACATTATAAAACTATAGCTTAGAATTTGGAGCCTTTGCGATTTGTCAAGGCGTTTTCCGCTACGCTACAACGCAGCGCCAAACGCGACAAAGAAAAGAAATAACATTGAAATATCAAGTTATTGGTTTCCCACCCCTAGTCTTATAACGTGTGAGGCGAAAATATTATTTTTTCGTGAGACGGAGGTAAACATCAGCCTATCTCGTTTGTTATGTTTTTGTGTTCATAACTGCCGAAGTAAAGTGGTGAATTTTTATTGATCGGTAAACTTAATTTCACCAAGAAAAATATTGTGAAATCTGTACAAAAACAAAATTTTATCCAATATTTTACTTAGATCATTTTTATAGCTTATATTAAGAGTCTTCAATAATATTGAAAAGAAAAGACTGAACAGAGTAGGTAACCTAACCAATATCTTGGTAGCTGACAGGTAAGGACAGTCGCCCGGTAAGCAAACGATACTTACGCCCGTATTTACAAACGATGCTTGCTTAAGTGAAGCAGCAAATCGAACGCACAGCGTTGAATAGAGCTCTGTGATTGGTTCATGTGTCACCCTGTGCGTCAACGCGCATTGTGAGACCTCATAGTAATGTTTGTGAATACGGGCGTTACTTAAGTTGTGTGAGCGAAATCCTTAAAAGGCTGTTTGTTAGGGTTCTATCTTACGAATATTAATCTTATCTTATCTTACTAATACTTATTACCTATAAATGCGAAAGTTTGTGTGGATGTTTGTTACTCTTTCACGCAAAAACTACTGAACGGATTTTGATGCAACTACAGTATTATTGTTTATAACCCAGAATAACATATAGGCTATATTAATGGCAATCTGTGACGAACTAAATTTCACGCGGGTGAAGCCGCGGGCAAAAGCTAGTTGCAAATAAATGAACGACTCGCATAATGTAGGAAGCCTATTAAAACATTTAGAACTAT